ACATAATGGATTCTCATTATATTTTTATAGAATCCTCAATATAAAAATCTGGAGTAATATTATCAAAAGGAAGCTAAGAATCAGTTGATGTGTGTAATAACTATTACAAGGCTCCTGACTTTCGATACCATCTTTCCTAATTTTTCAGGAAAGAGATATGAACTGAGCTGAGAAGACTCGGTGGTTTCATCCTCTGCTTGATGGTCTTGACAGTTGTCCTCCACTTGGCTACTTCAGAATCAATAGAGGAACTTAAAAAACATAATGATACCAGGCCCCACCCCCAGAGATTCAGATTTAATTTGTCTAGAATAAAACTCAGTCATTGGTAGCTTTGTGTTTGTTTTATCTTTGTTTGTCAGAGCTCCCTAAATGTTTGAACGTGCAGCCCAGGTTGAAAACCATTTATTTAGAAAAAGCTTTTCCTAAGAGGGTTAATGTCCACTTGAAAAGAGGAGTCATTAATGATGAGCCATAAGGTTCTCCTTCGCACCCGGACCAGAAAATGAAGAAAAATCTCTAGAAATACAAAGCTGCAATGTCAATGTAAACCCAGTATCCTGAACAAAAAGAATGCATAACCTAAAAACTCAGCTGAGTCTTCATAACTGCACAGAATTTAACCTACAGTTAGACATTAAATCCTTTATAGAGGAACAGAATAGTCAAAGTAGGTCTGAAGGTGGCTCTTATGAAAAATACCTATGTGAATGAAAAAATTTTCATTGACAGTAATTCTCAGATTCTTAGTACTTGTGATGTGTTTACCTAAGAAGCTACTTTGACTTAAACTCAACCCTTTCTCAATGGATCCCATGGCCTTGCTGCTAGTTTAGCTCTGAGATTCAGTTTTTATTTGCACATACAAATCTCTCAAACTTGAAAGTGCCTACAAATCACCTGAAGATCCTGTGAATACACAGATTCATATGCAGTAGGTCTGGGTGGGGCCTGAGAGTCTGCATTCTAATAACCTCCCAGATGGGGCTGATGCTGCTGGTCCACAGACAAACACTTGCAGCAGCAACGTCTTGGAAGACATCATGAGGATTAAATGAAATGACCTACATAAAATGCTTGGCACCGACGTGCTTGGCATCCTACAGAAGACTTAACAAATAAAAATAATAAAACGTGGTAAAAACCTAGACATCACATGATCCAATCCTCCCTCCTTTTCCAGATGTGGAAACGGCAAGTTAAGAAAAGTTAAAAGCTCTTCCTCTTTACAGCCAAAGAAAAAAACCGTTGTTTTTAACTGCAAAAAAATTGCAACCAAGGTCCATGGGTGGAAGTTAAACAGAGCTCTTCGTTCCGTACCAGGAAAAATCTTTTAACAATAAATGCTGTCCTACAATCATTTGGCCCTCTTGAGGAGAGAGTGTGAAGTCTCCAGTTACAAATGTGAGCAAAGATCAGTTGGTAATGTGAAAGAACACATTCATGTTTCAGGTGACTGTCGAATTAACTAAGAGACATCACACACTTAATATGTACAAAAGTATATTTTTTAATGAAAACAGAAACCTCATTTCTTTCCTCACTCCAACTCTGCTCTTCCTGAAGTCTTCCCCTCCGCAGTAAATGGAGTTACTTGGGTCAAAAAGCCTTGGAGTCTTCTTTACCGTTACTTCTCTCACCCCTCACATCCATTCCATCACCAAATCCTAGCGCTGTGACTTCTCACCACCTCCATTACAACACTGCGGGCCAAGCCACTCTCCACTCTGTCCGGATCACTACAACAGCCTCCTGATAAGTTTCTCTGTCTTTGTCCTTGATCTTCAACAGCATTTTCTCAGCAAGCAGCCAGAGTGCTGCCACTTCTCGACCCCTTCCTTCTCGTTGGGAGTACAATCCAAAGTCCTTCTACTGGCTGACAAGGCCCTACGTGCTCTCTCCCCTCCAGCCCTCAACGACGTTTCTAATCTTTCTCAATCTTTTTCTCTCTCCAGCCACCCTTAAACTCATTGTTCCTTGAATCACATCAAGGACGCCCCCATCTCAGGACCCCTGTCCTTGCTCTGCCCCCCGTCATGAAGGCTATACTCTGGGATTTGCAAGGGTATGCCCCACATTGCCAATATATGAAACAACAATGAAGACACTTCACAGAAGGATTCTAATTGCTCTCTATGGAAAAAAGTGCCCACACTCAGCTTAAAGATCAGCGCTTTACTTTCCATAGTTGGTACAGATGAAAGGCTGGGTGAGGCATTCCAGCTCCAATTGTGACTCAGCTTCACTTTTAAAAATTGCTCTTTCATCAAATCCTCTCTTAGCACCAAGTCAGGGAAGACTTAGGTGCTATACTCCCACCTCAGGGCACTGCCACAACCTGGGCAGAGAATAACCCTTCAGGACAGCCTCCTGGTCTGTGACCTCTGAAAAAATGAACAAACATCCCAGATGCAGTGTCCTTCTGCTGCCCACAGGGAATTATGTCCGTTTTCTTCTTTTAAAACCAAAGTTCTGCAGTTGAACTTGAGAAAACTTAACTGCCGCTGAGTAGCCATGGACAGACAATGGACAGAGAGCGCTGGTACATGGTGTTCAGGTGACTTCCTCTGCAGAAAAGGAAGTTATTCACTTCTGGAGAGGACTGTGTCGGGGACCCACATCCCAGGGCCACTGTGTATGCTTATTCTGGTTCCCAGGAACCAACAACAAGGGCACCCTGCACAGTATTGTGCAATGCAGCTACTCCAGCCACTCAGCCTTTAGGGCTCGAAATGAAAGCCACTCTTGGTTCAGACAATCAAACAGCATCAGAGGCATGGAGATAAATGCATCTAATGTAGGAATTACCGTGGGCAAGGAGAGGAAGGAGGGAAGTGAGGAGAGATTCTGGCCTGAGCTGAAGTGCCCTGAGAGAGAGGATGCACTGTGGCTGTGAGCTTCGGCCTCAGCCCCCCTTACCCCTGTGCTCACAGTGCCCCCCTCCTGCCTCACAAGCAAGGTACTTCCAACCCAAACCAAAGATCTAGAGGGGCACGGGCTACTGAAAAACCACTGTGCCCTAGTGAGGAAAGTACGACAGTGCTTTCAGGAACTCAAAGAATAGCAAAAGGCGTACTCTTAACTTGGCTATTTCTCAGCCAAGGAATCAGATTTGTTTCTCGCAAGGAGTTTTTTTTCTGTGACTCTTCCTCAAGGGCAGCCAGGTGCAAGGGTGGAGGAAAGCCCAAGAACACAGAATCCAGCCCATGTATTAAAAGAAGCAGAGGCATAAAATCAGCCAAAAAGATGTGGAGTGTTAAACAGGAGACTCAGCAAGAGGCCTCATCCACCTTCTCTTATAAAGCCAAAGGAAACTGTTTACTTATGTGGGATAACAACGGAAACTTGTGGAGCAGTTATAGGCAAGGAAATGGGACATTTCAACACTAGCATTTGCTTTGGGTGAAGCATACTACATAATTTTCTTGTTCCTGCAGCTTCAGGAGGAAACTTTGCCCACTTAGGACATCATCCAGGACTCCCAGTTCATGAAATAAGGAGCTCTGATTCCTATCTGTGGTCTCTGCAGCACATCACAGCCAGCAATGAGCCACACAAAGGCTGGGTATTGAACCTCCAGGGAGATCATTTGGGATCAACAGTTATTTCTTGACTGAACTCTGCACTTTGAAGTAACCCATTACTGATCATCCAATAAACTTAATTAATGCAACCACAGGCAACAGGGAACAACAATCTTTCTTTTTCAATAGAGAAATAGATTTCGAATAGGGAAAATCTGATATAAACTTTTAGCAGATGATTTCTCTTCACCCCACAGACCAATTTCGAATATGCTATCAAGAAACGCTATTTAAGTCAGGCGCAGAGTATATCTCTTTATAAATCAAATAATTCCCTAACTCATCCTTTGTGTAAGTAGGCTTTTATATAACATATATATAATATATAACGGGTTGGCTTAAAATAGGCAAATTTGTACTGGATAACCTGCACAGCAATAGCTCATTTCCAATATTTATACACAGGAATATCAGGGGCAAAGGCCATTTTCTCATTCCATCTTTAACACAATACTTCTTTCTTATATTTAGGTTGAAAGAGTATTCGAGAAAATGATTTCTCCAGCTAAGAAGAGTATCAAGTAAAACATATGGAAGCGATGTGTCTTCCGGTAACCAGTAGTGGATGAGATGTGGGAGACCCAGGGCCCTTAGGGAAAGCAAATGGCTCCACTAAAACTCCTTCCTCCAACCTTAATTGGTCAAATGCCAAAATAAACGAACTTTCCAAAGTTAGGAGCTGTGCAACTTTCACTGAGGATAACTGCAGGTGCCCCAGCCGTAACCAGCGAGCCCACCGAGCTGGGTGTGCCCGGCGGCCGCAGCTGATAAGAGTCGGGCGCCCAGGCCCAGGCCGCCTCTACGCCAAACGACCCGCCGGGGACCGGTTCAGGCCCGGCTGCCCAGGACCGGGAGCTCCCAGTTGCCGGCCCAGAGCCAGATCCCGCCCCGCCCTTCCCACCCCAGACCAAGGAAGGGAAATGGGCGCTCCGAAGCGAAGGTGAGGAGCGCCCAGCGGGATTCAGCCGCAGCCGGGGTCGTCCCCAACTCCCAACTTCCCAGAGTTTCCTCCGGCCTCGTCCCCCTTCCCACCGCTGGTGAAGCGGCCGCGGCCTCCCCTCGCCCCGAGCGCAGAGCCCGGGAAGTGGAGCGCGGAGCCCGGAGCTCGGGAGCCGCCCCCCGGAGCCCTGGAGACCGGAGCGCAGGTGGCGGGCGTGGTCCCTCCAACCCTGCCCCAGCCTCCTCCCCCCGCCCGCCCCCACCGGACTCGGCCTCCGCGCAGCAGTCTCTGCCGGGGTCCCCGCCCGGGTCCAGCATCAGGCCACGGCGCGCCGCTTCCTGATCCCCTCCTCTAGCTCGGCGGCCACCCCCCTCCTCGCCCCAGTCCGCATCGCTCTTCTGCCTCAGGCCCCGGTGCGGCCCCAACTCCCAGCGCAGGGCCCTCCGGTCGCGCCCGGCAGCGGCGGCGGCACTCACCTGGGTCGCGGAGCCGGGGTCTGGCGCGGTCCCGCAGGTGGTAGATGAAATCCTGGCAGCTGTCGTGCTCCAGGGCCCCACGGGCACAGAGCTCGGCCAGCAGCTGCAGCGCCTGGTGACAGAGCGCGTCCCTGGCCCCGGGCATCGCCCCCCCGCATCCTCGGACCGCGCCGGGCAGGCGGGCGCGGGAGACAACCCTCCGCCTGCCAGCTCAGAGCCGCCGCCTCCGGGCCGTCCGCGCTCGCCGTCAGGGAGCCGCCGAAGAACGGCCCGAGCCCCAGCCCCGGCTGGCCCGGCCTCCCACCGGTTGCATGCAGCTCTTCGGCAGCCGGTCGGTCGGGCTTTCTCTCTCTCCCGCCCGGCCGCTCTGTCCCTCCCCCGGCACCGAGGGGAGGTGGCGCCGCACAGCCCCGCGCGCCTCTCTCCCGGCGCCCCGCCCGCCACTCGCGGCCGCCGGGGGGCGGGGCCGGGTCAGGGGCGCGCGCCGCGGGCTAGGATCCCGGTGGGCCCGGTTCCCGCGCCAGCGGCGGACGTGGGGGGCGCTCGCCGGCTCCTGGAGGAGCGCGAAACTCGGCTCCGGACCAAGCGCTCAGAGCGGCTGCGCCCAGGGTTGGAGAGTGGGAGCGAGGCGCGCTCCGGGCATTCTCGCCAGCCCACCCCTCCGTCCTCAGGCAAACCAACACCCTCTCCCACCGTCCCTCGCCGCGAGCGTTCAAAGCGCGCGTTGGGTGCGTGGCGCGAAATGTGCAATTTGGACCACACCCGCCCGATCTGGAGAACCGAGTCCTGGCTTCGAACTTGAAAAAGCGCCGTCTGGGCAAAAACCATGGGCCTCAGGATGCTAGATCCCCAAATGCGGGTTCGGGGCCAAGATCTGCCAACAAAGGAAGGATTTCCAAAATGCAGGACGTTTTCGACCACCGTGGTGTTTTGGAGACGGTGGAGGCTTGGCACGTTAGAACTAAGGTCAAATAAATGGCTTCTAAGAAAGATGTCGGGACATAGATCCTGGCTGGTTTTCTAAGCAACTGAATCGAAATCCGGGGATTGTCAACGTGTCTCCCATATCCACCAAGTTAGAGTTTCACAGAATCTGAGCTTTTTGAAAGGGAACTCTGGGCGCCTCTCATGCACCCACCTCTTCAACATTCCAGGCAACAAGCCCAGAAATAACCTCGAAGTACTGAACTCGTGGGGGGTGCGGGTAGGGGGAGCAGGGGAGGGGTTCCTGGCACTATGCCACAGCCTTTTAGATATACAATCTCATTTAATTCCCTTGCTAGCCCAGCAAGGTCTGTATAACCGTTGTCTTCATTTTACCAGTGAAAAACCTGAGACTCAGAAAGGCATCACCTGCCCAAGTTCATACTTGGGGAGGCAGGGTAAGGTATTATTATAATAGTAATAATAATAATTATCATTATTAGCTTTAAGTAAAACTAGTGTCCAGGCCCTACTACAGACAATTACAGTTGACTCCACAGCTGGCACTCAGCCATAGGTTGTGCTGTTGCTAGGGCCACCTCCTAGCAAATCACACTGTGCAGGAAGGTATTTCAGGATGCTGCACAGCGTTCATCCAACAGACAAGCTTTGAAATGCTGCTGCGAACGGTGCCGGGGCCTCAAGGATCTTATATTAGAACAGTAGAGAAAATGCAGAGTTATAAAGATAACTCCAGACAGGGAAAAGAGAAGTAGACTCTCTGTCCTAGGAAAACTAGGAAGGAGATCAAGCCAGCTGAAAGGAAGCCTGTGGAGGAGGTAGAACAGAAGCTGGTCCTTGAAAGGAGGGAAAAGCCGATGTGACGGTGGAGGGAGAAGCAGAGAAAGTGGGATGCTAGAGCTAGTATAGTAATGGTGGGGAGGGGGGTGTGTGTTCAAGCATGTAGAAATAGAGAGGAACTGAAAGCGGAAAGTCCAGTTAAGAAAGTACTTTGATAAGCCAGGCAAGATATGATGAGGGCCTACATCAGGCCGAAGGCACTTAGCTGATTGCTAAGAATATCTAAATTTGAAAAACATTTCAAGTATTAATTGACAAGATTGCACCCAATGGAATGAGATAGAATGAAAGACATAGAAGTTTCACAAACTGACCTGAGTCATATGTGGTGAGTAATGAAAAATGCTTAGAATTGGAAGCCTAGAGTTTAGGAGAGAGGGGAGACTGGAAATCATCCACAGAAAGATAGAAATTGAGTTGCCATATTGAATGGTTTCCTCCAGGCAAGGAGAGCTGGACAAACGGGAGAGAGCTTGTCATTTAAAATGTGGTTCAGTGGGGCGCCTGGGTGGCTCAGTCGTTCAGCGTCTGCCTTCGGCTCAGGTCATGGTCCTGGGGTCCTGGGATCGAGCCCCGCATTGGGCTTCCTGCTCAGCCGGAAGCCTGCTTCTCCCTCTCCCAGTCACCCTGCTTGTGTTCCCTCTCTTGGTGTCTCTCTCTGTCACATAAATAAATAAAATCTTAAAAAAAAAATGTGGTTCAATAAGGAGGAAATTGAAAAGCAGCAGTGATGGAGAAAACACTGGACAGAGGGGAGTCATGGGGGCCAAAGGAGGAAGAACATTTAATGGAGTGATCTACAGCATCAATTGTCAACAGAACCTACAGAAACAAAAACTAAGAAATACCCTTTGGATGTAGCAGGCAATAAGACATTCGTGATTTAGATCTAGAATCAACCTTGTGGAAGTTGTTTAAAATTTTTGTGCCTACGGTTTCTCTTCAGATAACGCTAATATGTGCGTTAATGAACTGTCATGAAGATTACATCAAGTACTTAGAACAGTTCTGCCACATAATATGGGCTCAGTTAGTATACTGTTGTTGCTGTTGTGTGTCTACTACAATGTACTAGATGCTAACTAAACACACTTTCTTAATTTATTAGTGACAACATTCTCAAGTAGTAGGTGTTATTATTTCCTATTTTACAGGTGAAGAATGTGAAATCAGGTGGTTAAATAATTTTCCCAAGGACAAACTGACAGATCATTTCCAGAGACAGCCACAACTATCCCTCCCATTCCACATGTCCGTTTTCAATGTGACTTTACCCGTCCTTCAATCAAGAAACTGAGTCTATTTCCCATCCCCCTTGAATTGGGCTAGCCCTGTGACTTGCTTTAACCAAAAGAATATGTGAAAGTGATATTCTGGTGCCAGAACGGTGGCTCGCAAGGATGTGGAAAAAAGGGAATCCTTGTGCACCAATGGTAGGGATATAAATTGGTGCAGCCACTATGGAAAACAAAATGGAGATTCCTCAAAAAATTAAAATTGAAGGGGCATCCAGGTTGCTCAGTCGGTTAAGCATTCGAATCTTGGTTTTGGCTCAGGTTGTGATCTCATGCGTCAGGAGATCTACGCTCAGTGGGGAGTCTGCTTGAAGACTCTCTCCCTCTGCCCCTCCCCCACTCTCTCTCTCCCTCTCTCTTGCTTTCTAAAATTAATAAATAATCTTGGGGCACCTGGGCGGTACAGTTAGTTAAGCATATGACTATTTCAGCTCAGGTCTGATCTCAGGATTGTGAGATTGAGCCCTGCCTCTGGCTCTGCACTCAGCGTGCAGTCTGCTTGAGATTCTCTCTCCCTCTTTCTCTGCCCCTCCTGCTCATGCTCTCTCTCTCTCTCTAAAATTAAAAAAAATATATATTTAAAAATAAATAAATAAATAAATAATAAAATATTTTAAAAAATTAAAGTTGAACAACCATATGATCCAGCATCCAGCAATTCCACTTCTGGGTATTATATGCAAAGGAAATGAAATCACTATCTTGAAAAGATATTTGCACCCCATGTTCATTGCAGCATTATTCACAACAGCCAAGACACGGAAACAACCTAAGTGTCCATAGATGGACAAATTAATAAAGAAAATGCGATACACACACACACACACACACACGCACAGGAATATTATTCAGCTTTAAAAAAGAAAGAAATCCGGCTATTTCTAGCAATATGGATAAACCTGGAAGGAATTATGCTAAGTGAAATAAGCCAGACTGAGAAAGACAAATACTACATGGTGTCATTTGCTTATGGAATCTAAAAAACAAAACCAACCAAACAAACAAAAAATATTGATCTCATAGAAACAGAGTAGAAAGATGCGCTGGGGTTGGTGAAATGGTGAGATGTATGTCAAAGGTACAAACTTTCAGTTATAAGGCTCTGACATACAGGATGGTGATTATAGTTAATAATATGGGATTGTGTACTTGAAATTTGATGAAAGTGGATCTTAAATGTTCTGAGCATACAAAAAAAAGTTTTTAAAATAGTTAAAAATTTACAAGGTGATGAATGTGTTAATTAACTTGATCTCGGTAATCATTCCACAGTGTATATGTATACCAAATTATCATGTTGTACATTTTAAACATATACAATTTTATTTGTCAATTATTCTTCAGTAAAGCTGGGGGGAAATAATTTTTTAAAAAATCCTGTAAGTCTTTCATCCTGCTCTTAGACCATATCCTTACTCCTGCGTCCAAGACTTAGATTCTGTTCTTGGGACATAGTTCGGCCTTCCTAATGGCAGAATTTCCTATTCATTGGCCTTTTGTTTTATTCCGTTCCTTGCCAGATAGTTGCTCCTAACAAAAGAAAGCAAGATTCAACTGGCATTTGTTTTTAGTGAGCCCATGCTATTTCCCAGTGATTACTGCTCCTGTGAAACCCTCCCAGACCTCCTGCTTAATTAATCCTGATAGGAATTCATCCTCACACTTGCTCGAGAGCCTGAACTATAATTCACCTGGACCACGAGACGAGAGGTGAGTTCATGTTCTGTGACGAGCATTATCTCATCTTGGGCATCAATCTCCTTTTAAATCTGTGAGCCCTGTTAGGAGTGAATTTTTCCTGAGAGATGAAATTAAAGCAGATTTTGGATTGGGCGGCCAGACTTTGCCCATGCGTCCGTTATCATTATACCAAATAGCAGGTTGGACTGGGATGTTCAAAATATTTATTCTTCCTTCCTGAACTGTGCAGTTCCTTCCCAGTTTTATGATTGCTGGTTACAAAGTTATAAATCCAATTTCTTTGACTTTAAAGAAAGTAGAGGCTTATTGGCTTTAGTATTTAAAAGATACACCATAAAAGGAGTATATTAAAAGGAACAGAAGG